AATTCTATATAGGTTGTATATATATATATATGGTTTTTACATACATAAAAACATTGTTATTTACGTATCTCACACCCCAAAGTTTAACTTTCCTAGCACTTTTGCTAACGTTTGTCTCCAACATCTTCCGTCGGAGAGCATCCCAGCCGAACTTCCCGTGTTAAGACCGAAATTTCCTTTTTCCTCTTGTGGTTTCTTCGAAGTCCTTTTACCTTTGAAAATAAGGTGCAAGGAAGTGTGGTTGCACGCTGAAAAGTTGTAGGTGGAAGAGATGTGGTGCTTGGGGTGCTGTTGTGGTGAAAGCTTGCGTGAGAGGAGCAATTGGAGCAGGAGGACATGGTGTGCTTGCAAGAAACAATGGGAATCGAGTGGTAGAAGAATAGATAAAGGGATTTCGCTCTAAATACAGCAAGTGTGGCTAGGCCGCCTGCTACAAGAGAAGATGTTGGGAGGCAGAAGTTAACGAAAGTGTTGATTTCATAAAATTGAACTTTAGAATGTTAGACAGGCAAATAACAATATTTATTATGCTATGCATGTAAATTCCTATATATATATATATATATATATATATATATATATATTATAAATAAGACACCTATTAATTTTCAGTTGATTTCTAGATGTAAGCCGTACACATGAGGTCTCTAAACATAATATTTTCTCTTGGTGGGTATAAGCACGAAAAATAATGTCATACTCTATTAATTAAATTTCTCAAGCAAATACCTAACATACATTTCAAATGATAGCTTTATGCTCAATCAACAGATCTACAACGTTATACTAAATTAGGCTCAACTTCTCCTCCACCAAGACATTAGTTAATAAAATTAGAGGTGTAAAAAAATTAGCCCGACAAATAAACTCAACAAAAAAATAATCTTTTTTCTTGTAAAACCGAATAATTTTCAGTTCATCCTAACCCATTTAATTTTGCAGGCCATGTTCAACTGACCTGCCAACTAAAAATTGATCTGAAACCAAGTCACCAACACATAGTTGACTTTAGATCAACCTACCAACTCAAAATTGGCCCAAGATTAAGCTGAAATCAACCCGAACAACTATCATGCCTCATATTCAATGGGTTCGAAAAGTTGGGTTCGAGCGATCGGACCCGGTTATATGATGCTTTAATGAATACTGGAGTTCTTCGTATATTGAGATTAGAAGTTCCAAAGCTTCTTTGAAAATTAAAACCGGCTGGCAAATAGAACATGCAAGCTTTTTTGTGATTGCACGAGTGAACAGAAATTTAGGTTTCGAAAATGAAACTTTTAAAATGAATTTTCATCAATATTTAACAAAAGTTTTAAAACATTCCAACAGTATAAGTCACGAATGAAGAAACAATTAAATTCCATAAAGCGATTTCAAAATCTCAAAATGTTTCGGATAAACATACAGATGAAAACAATGAATAGAGAAATGGAAAAAAAGTCTGAAGCACAATCCAAACGATACGGACGAAAAGCAATCAAACAAATAACACAAATCATATCCTTTCCACTAACGTTAAAGTTATGAAAAAAAAAAAAAAAAACGTCAACAAGTCTGAGTGATATGTGATAACAGAAACAGAGCACAAAACTAACTTCATAAGCTTTTTTGGTTCATATCCTCCATGCCAGCCCGATGCAGTCCTTTATGTAACCAGACTTAAAAAGAAAATACAACAATCATTCTCGCAAAAGAAGGGTGCATAAATTCAGGTACACAAGAGCATCACAAACACAAACCCATATGAAGTTGCTTTATAAACACCTCTGGAAATCACAACTCGCAGCAACCTGAAGCAAAATGCCAGGACAAAAACATAGAAAAGGTTTTAGAACACAATAGCAGTGTTTCAAAATGGAAGAAAATTGGGAACCAATACTCACCACCAGATACATCAGTGTCGATACTCACGGGAGAGGGATCTCTCAGAACGGTGATATTCATATTCATGATCTCTGGGAGCCTCTCCCTCCTCAGGTGGTTCAGACTCTGCACGTTTGTGTTGGCCCTGATAATCAGCACCACCATCCTTGCCATAATGGTCATAGTATTCAGGCTCATGATCATATTGCTGATCTTTCTGTTGGTAGTATTGACCGTACTCATCGTCATGTTCATGCTTGATGGAGCCATCATAATACTCCCGACCACCGTTTGGATGACCATGATCAGTTTCCCTTGTTTTCATACCTTGACGATCCCGGTCATGTGCAGCATCAACATGATCATATTCAGCATTTTTTTCATGAGCATAACCACGATCCTTATCATGAATGGAGCGCTCATAATCTCTATCCCTTTCTCGATCTCGAGTATGATCCCTCTCACGATCACGGTCACGAGGGCGGCGTTCAAAATCCCGGCTATAGTCTCTTTCTCGCTCTCGATCACGACCTCGATCACGATCACGATCACGATCACGGCCATGGTCCCTTTCCTTGTCCCTCTCTCTTTCTCTATTTCTATCACGGTCTCTATGGTGGTGTCTATCTTCTCGGGGGTCCTTGTCTCGTGTCCTGTCATGTGAATGCTCACGTGATTTCCCACGCCGATCCCTACCCCCCCTATCTCGAGACCGTTCTCTTTCTCTGCATCGAAAGAAAGCCTCGTCAGCACATGAAAGATCAGAATTATTTTTAGGGCTCATTTGATTGTTCCCCATTAAGAAAAATGATGAATTTAGTTGGTAATAAATAAGAATTTTAAGCGCTACCCATACATTCAAAATCCCTCAAAAGTGATGAACAAAATTTTCATGAAATTAGAAACAAAATTATAATTTTCTAAAACCATTTTCTATACATGCAACCAAAGGAGCACTTATCATATGGTCAATTCATGTCCAAATGAAAAAATAAAAGCTAAAAAGTGAGCGCACTAACAAAAAGTCAATTCATCATATCAAATTTAGAAGGAAATGCAACAATGCAGGTACACATACCGATCAACATGTCTTTCTTCTCGAGCCCTAGGCTCCTCCGATCTGGGACGACTTGATGATACCTGCTGTTGCTCCCTGATTTAATGTCAAAAATAACAAAAGAAAAAAAAACTTCAGGTATTATATTACTTTTAATCTGTTGGAAAACCAGTAAATCAACAAGCATTGCTTTCATGAACTAACAGCTGTGGATATACAAATTGTGATTATAAACTTAAAATTATAATGCCTATTTGAAGCAATCAATACATGCTAGCTTTCAAGCCACTAAGTGTTTTAAGCAGCATTTAGTAATACCTTGAGTTCTCAGTTTCCAACAGAACCCTATGAGGTAATGCAAACTGATGTGTATAATAAACGACAAATACATAGCGCGAACGCCACAACAAAAGATGCAAAATTTAGATACCATTTGGGCTACAAATTAGCATGTCTCAATAACAGGACCTATAAAAAATAAGAGCACGCACTCAAAATACAGTACACCACAGATACATTCCTTAAGATGGCCTAGTTACAAAATCCAAAACAATGAAATCACTGAAACCAAGGATGAGAAAATCAATATCATTACGTAACAGAAATAATCAGGCATCTCAAACAAAATCTGAAGCCAATATGAACGAAAAACTACTGAAAAATAGACTTCACCATGAAAAGTAGCATAATCAAGGAATAAGTATCAGCGTTGTAAATACAGTAATCTTGTCAACAAGGTATATCTCAGACAAGATTTTTTTTCAAACTCGCAATAGAGATCCTTCATATCCACTCACACCATTAGCCTACAGTTTGATATCAATCATCAATGGCGTACTTGAATAAATTTTAAGACATCAAAGGAGTCATTTCTTCTTCCTCTGCTAAAGAAGCATCCGGTGAGTTGACTGAATCTACTGTAGAGGTCTGATAATCTGTGGAGCCGTTCAGTTAGTTGTTTAAAGATTATATGCAATTTAAAAATGCAAGGAAACTGAATGCAGAGAATAGCAGTAAGTGGACAGATTGCAGCAAAAGGCAACGGTGATAAGCAGGCGAGCAGCAGCGAAAAGCAATAGCAATGGCAATATAGGCGATGGCGTGGGCAGTGGGATGTCACCAACGACAAGAAATGGCTTAGAGGGGTGACAATGGCAGCGATGACAATGATGAGCCAGAACAGTGAAGGCTACAAACTGATGGTGATAGGCTACATAGGGCAACAGACTGTTACAACAAGCAATGAACGGGGATGATGTTGGGAAGCGAACAAGGCCAGCTGTGTAGAGGAATTTAAGGGGGTACAGTGTGAGATTTCAAAATCACCTACTAATGCAAATCGAAAGCTTAAGCTATTTCAAATCTCTCAAAATTTTACTTTATGGTTTTTTTGTTTCAAACCAAACACCAAAAAAATTAAAACAAAAGAAAATGAAATGCAATACCTTATTAATACAACTTGCCAAACCCCTTAATAATGCTCAGGCACAGTTCTTGCATGACAAGTTTTACAATAAAAGTCGTCCTAAAGCAAATAATAATTCAATTTAAATAATGAATAGCAGGCTACATGAATACGAAAATCTCCCTCTTCATCGACTCTAATATGAAAATCCTTGATTTCTATAAGATCATGACTATAGGAGGGAAAGAAAAACTTTTGATTTAAACGTGATACATTAAGCTTTTTCACACAAGGCAACCTCTTTATTCAAGCAAAAAATTTGCATCCGTTTTATCTAGATTACACACACTTATCATTTTCTGTTTCTTTCAAAATCTTAAAATGACTTAAAGGATAGCTTTGCATTATTCAACTTTTTTTACATGAAATTTTAATAATCTTTTTTATAATCAAAATCATTTCACTGAATTTACATTTATTTTATTATTAATTATCATTAGTAGAAAAATATTTATTATACTAAATTGTTTACTACTTTACTTCCCAGCAGAAATTGATAGTTCTGTTTTTATGGTTTCTACTTAGTATTCTTAATCTCTTAAGAAGGTCAAAATCTCAATACTATAATTTCGGTTATTTTATTGTTATTCACATCAGCAGAAAAAAAAAATGGAGTTAGATGGCTTAATTCCTAGAATGTATGTTAAAATTCCATCTCGCTCAAATTATCAACACATTATGTTTGTTGTGAGCTATTACATTAGAATGTCTCGAAAGTGGGGTTCAAATAAGGGTCATTTAACATATTAGCATAGAACTGCAAATTAAAAGTGTAGCAACAAAAAGTAACTGAAACTGAATTTGACAATTAGGTTTTACTCTTCAATTTTGGGAAAATAACCCTTAAAAAAAATATAATATCAATGGGAGACATGAGCCCAAAGCTTTTTCAAATTAAAAAGATAAGTTGAATAAGTTCTTTCAAAAGTACAAGATGTCGCGTCTCCAAAAAAACTTAATTTGCAGAAGAGAAATTGGTCAGAATACCAACTCATTTTGGCAAGGTGTTATGACTAACGCAAATTCTATATAGGTTGATACGAAACATAAAAAATTCAATTTGTTGATTATCTATGAACAACGATAAATGCAAGATTAATTTATTCACCTAAAATGATGAAACATAATTTGTGTGAATAATTTAATTAGGTACGAAAAGTTTGAAACCAAGTGTTATCCACCTAACAAATAATTTGTTAACAATATATATTTCAATTATTACACTATAAATGAAACAGGATTTAAACTGCAATTCACTAACATAATATTTGAGGCTTACCATGGAGCTTTTAGAGCTTGAAAGATATTTAAGTTATCCTCTTGTTACCACTACTGCACCTCTATCTGAAGTATATTTAAGGTAAAAGCTTTGTGATCGATCTCATCCAGTGAATGTGAACCGTAATTAATCACATGCGCTCAATTCTATCCTACTTATGAAATTGCAATTCTTGAAATTTATTAAAAGGCAAATTAAAAGAAAAAAAAAAGATTCGTCACTAAAACATAATTCTATATTTAATTTTGAACAAATCTAACTTTAATGTCTGCAAAAAAAAGCTTACAGATGCGGCAAATTGAATGTTCGACAAGATTCAAAACAGAAACCTAAATTTGTTAACTCACTTTTTAATGCACCAAAAACAGCAATTGGATTAACCTAGGAGAAATAAAACTAACACCTACACACACATATGATATAGAAAATATAAAACAACCACAGTAATAAAAACACCAATATTTACAAAGTTCAATAAAAAATGACTTACATGGCTATCAAGCGAAAGCACATGGATAATTTCATTGTTATGCACTATTGGGAGGCGAAACAAAAAGGATCAAGTCATTTTATACAAAGAAACAAAGGTTGAAGAAAATTTCTCTAAGGTTACCTTTAAATTCTATAAAAAAAATCATAAAGATGCCCTTAATTGAAATTTGAAAATGAGATCACTTGCAAAGGTATGTGATCAAATTAACTAATTTTCAAATTCACCAAAAAAGAGCATTCGGATTAACCAAGATAAATAAAACTAACACCAAGCACACAGATATGATGTAAAACATATAAAAACCACGGTAATAGAAGCACCAAAATTTACATAGTTCGATAAAAAAAGACATACATCTATGAAGTGAAAGCACATAGATAATTCGCTAAATCTATGAAAAGTGCAATATGGAGAAGAATAACAAAATAGATCAAATATTTTTTCCTACAAAGAAACTGAGATTGGAGGTAATTTCAAACAATCATTTTAGAAGTAAGCTAACTAAGAAGCGTGAATTCCCTTGTTATCTGATGACTGGGGAGAAGAAGCTAACAAACAAAAGAGAAACACTAAAAAAAAAAAAAAAAAAAAACATTGCATTCTACGGGGCCAGCCTTTCTAATTCCTTGTCAACATACCTTGTTATGTTAGAAAAGATTGGATGTACTTCAATTTACAACTATTTACATCCCCAAAATCTTCTTAGCAACACTAATATCTTCTATTTCAAAGGTTCATTCAAATTGACTTGAAACTTCTAAATCTATGATATGTCTCGGATTGCAATCAATACGCCACCATCATACGAGAGCATATATACAAAAGTTTCATCTACAAGCTTCCTATAATACACAACTATCAAAATGGGGTTAGCTTGAACATATGGCTGATCATGAACTATCAAACTTCTTACATCACTGATTTAGACCATCTTCAATTCACAGGCCGACCTTATTTTCCAGGAACTTTAAACCCTAGTGGTTGTCGCATGTGAATTTCCTTATCCAAACTGACAATGGAGAAAATTTGCAATCACATCCATTTATCCTAACTCTAGCCTGGCACTAAACCCACTATTAACAAAGTATAAATAGAAGTATGTATAACACAGGTCAAAGCCACTTTAACATCTTTCTAACTTATATCCGTTTGCAACATATCATGATGTGTATCAGAAAGAATCTTCTCCCCAGGTTTCTTCTTTGGCTTCAAAGATACATTTGCAGCTAACAATACTTTAGCCTTCATGGAGTTGAACTAAATTCCAAGCTTAATTCTTCTGCAAATACACCAACTCCATTACATAGATTCTTTTACAGTGGCTTTCTCAAAAGTCAAAAGCTCTTGATCACCAATAACTCTACACATTCTAAACATAAGCAACAATATGGCAGTAAATGGGATCCTATAACTTAATCTTTGAGGAGCTTTCATTTGCCGTTTGATCCTGTGAGAAACAACAGTTTCTTTAGATGCAATGGTGTCACATATTCCTGAGATTCAAGCTTAGTAGGGTGCTATGGAATGTATTCATTTAATTTTTCACGCTTAACCTCAAAACCAAAATATCTTTCTACTTTTCAATATCCTCCCGAGCATCAATCTACAGTGACTTCCATTGAGGTGTTCCTGACTCGCAAGTAAGAATCCAAGGGGCTTGATATTTATGCACAAAAGCATGCATCCCTTCATGTACATATCAAAAGAATAAGCCCTTATTAGCCCTATATTAAACTGGTCAGTTTTCTTTCTTTGACAAGAGCATAGGCACGACAAACCAAGACACTTATGTCCTTAAGCATAAAAATACTTGCTTGGATAAATAATCTATGGAAGGTAAACATGCATCTAGATCCATC